GCGGTCGGATTTACCCTCGCGATTCACTGACACCGCCATGCCATGATTCAGGGATTGGTGGGGGAGGAATAGTCGAACGGCTGGCTGATGTCAGCCCCCTCACCATCCGCAAAGAAGTCGATGACTTCTTCTCTACCAGACTGAGTGTCCTACGGCACGTTTGCGATGCAATGCAGATGAGAAAGGAAGAGGCAACGTGGAAAGCCTTAAGGTCGGAGACCTGGTCTTATTAAACTTTAAAGACCTTCCTACACATTTAGCCTCTGTTATCTTCCGGACGAAGCTTCGTCCACGGTTTATCGGACCGTTCGAGGCTGTGGCCAAGCGGGGCCTAGCGTATACGCCAAACCTTCCAAAACGGATGCGCACCCACCCGGAGTTTTACGTGGGTTTGCTTAAGCCGTATCGGATCCGGCGCATGTAAACGCGGAAGCGCTGGCGCCGGAGCGGGTCCCTAGGGCCCTCGACCACCCAGAAACTGAAGCAGTATCTGGTTGTGAGCACGGAGTGCAGCAATCTCCATTTCTAATGGAACCAAGCGCCCCACCATTGTCTGCAGCGACGTATTTGCCTGCTCCACGGCTAGGAGTCGCTCCGACAGAACGCGGTAGTCCTCAAGGCGAGGCAGCCGGCGCACGACGCGCTCCAAATCATCAAGAGCGTCCGCATAGCGATATGCTACTTCAGCATGACGCTCAAAGGTGCTCCGATCACGAAGGATCTCATCCTCAAAAACTCGAAGAGCACCGCAAGTCACCGGACGGCGGTCGACCCAGTCGTTACCGCCCGCCACCGCTCTTCTTGATGAGAATGGTGACGTCCACTCACGTGGAACGTCTAGTGGGACGACGTCGTCACCAGGGTCAGACCCAATATCTGGTAAAGTGGTGGGGATATCCCGATTCCGAAAACTCGTGGAAGTTTGAGACGCCACTTCGGCAAGATTGTCCAGATGCCGTGGATGCGTTTGATCAGAATGATCAGGACGCCCCGCGCTTCCCGGTAATAGCCAGGGAAGCAGAAGGGTCATAAGCTGAGCTCATAGCAGTGGCCCTGAGCTCTTGCGGTCGCAGACACAGACTTCGCGGGAGCGTTAGGGGTTGACCCATACGTCGTAGGGCGACAATCCGAAGGGAGTCGATGGCGTGCTTTGGGTTTGGCAAACTCAAATCGGAGGTGTCGCCAGGGGCGAGCACTACCGGTATCGTCCGCATTGCGGGTAAACGAGCATCACCTCGTTGAGCACTCAGACGAGTGCGATAAGCCTCCAACGGAAATTCTTGTGGAACCAAGAAACGAGCTCGAAGAGGTTTTCGTTTGGCAAGCTCAAATTTCGCTCTGGCCAGGGGCCCGATAATGTGGACGCGTAACGATCGAGCTACCGCGTTCTTCGCGTCCATAGCGGGATCCGCTGGACGGAAACCATGTTCCACACGAAAGTCAATGCCCGGCCGTAAATTAGCGCGCATCAGAGCCGACTTCCGAGCAGCTTCAAGCTGCCGCCTCTGCTTCCCGTCGAGGTTATTGGTGTTTACACCACGTCCCACACGTGACGAGAAGTCTGGAAATGGACATGGGGTCCGTAAGGCTCGAGCAGGGCTCGTATCACGCCGCTGGCGCAGCTCGTCTTCCTCGTCATCCCATGCGGAAAAAGGAGTGTCAGACT